TTCGCTCGGCGCTGCCAGAGGGATGGTTCCCGCCAGCACCCGGGGGTTGCCACGTGTGCCCAGCCTGCTGGGGGATGTGCACAAGGTGGGAAAAATGCCTTCTTCATCCAGAGAGAAGGGATGTAGGGATGCACCCTGGGCCAGGGACAGCAGTGGGAAGGGGCAGACAGAGGGAATGTCACTGCTGGGAGCAGGAGCAGCCCTCTGCAACACATCTCAGGGAGCAGCACAGGTTTCTGCTACCCTGAATTCACAGGTATGAGGAGCTGCTGACAGTGGAGCTGGAACTTGAAGCACATCACAGGCTGCCCAGCTTTTCTGAGGAAGGAAAAGATATTCCAGCATCTACCCAGGGAGGTGGGACATAAGTGAAGCATAAAATCACAGAATCATAGAATCCTGGAATAGTTTGGGCTGGAAGAGACCTTAGAGCTCATCTCATTACACCCCCTGCCATGGGCAGGGATACCATTATCCCAGGTTGCTCCAAGCCTCATCCAACCTGGCCTTGAACAATTCCAGGGATGGGGTAGCCACAGCTTCACTGGACAAGCTGTGACAGTGTTTTACCACCCTCACAGCCAAGAATTTCTTCCTATTTTCTAATCTAAATCTCCTCTCCTTCAGTTTAAATCAATTAAAGCACTCCCAGGCTCACACTTGTGTGCCCTGCTTGTGGGGTTCCTGCTGCTGAGCCCCAGCATGTGTAGCTGGTGAGACCCATCTCCCTTTCAGTGATATTTCAGCAGCACTGAGGACAGCAGGAATGTGCTGAGTCTGGCAAACTTGGTGGGATAAACACATCCCAGATCCCCTAAACCCTCAGCCCTCTGCCCTCCCACCTTTGGGAGAGGTAATCCTGGATCAGGATTCTGCAGGAGCGCTGCAAAGTAGCTCGGGCCAGGCTGCTCTCTGCCAGAGAAGTCCCATCGCTGCTCCATGCTGCCTGTGAAGCACCACCGAGCTGGGCTCTGGGCCACACTCCTGTGACCTGGGAGGTTGGGAAAGCCACTGGCACAGTGCCTGGCTTTGGAGCCAAATCCAACTGGGTCCAGACTCCCTGGCTGCCCTGTGCACTCCCAGGTCTGGCTAAAGTCAAACCCTGAATGCCAGCAGGGATTGCTCCAGCTGAACCCTGCTTTTAGTTCTATCAAGGATGGAGAAACTCCAAGCAAAACAGGGGGAAATTGTCTTTTTGCCCTTGTTTTGCTGCCAGTGCTGGCAGGAACATGGTGCCCATCCAGAGGCTTACACTGATGGTGCTGGGGAAGCCGGGTCTTGGGGCAATTCCAGGCTCTTCCCTTCTCCACAGGGAGGCAAAGCTGAAGTTTGCTGAGCGTTAGAGTCCTGGGAATCTGCTCCTGCAGTGCTCCAGAGCGGGATGCCCTGGCCTGAGAAGGTGGATGTGCCTGGATCCAGCAGCCAGCTGGGGCTCTGGGGTCAGCTCGGTGACACGGGACTGGTGCCGCTGGGAAAACACAGTGGCTGTTGGAGCAGAGGCTGCCCCTGGAATGTGCAAGCTGGCGTTTGCTTTGCAGAGGCGCTCACTGCCCTCGTCCAGCAGATCCAAAGGGGAATGGGAACGCTCAGGCAGAAAGCACGGCCCTGGCACGGCAGCATGGCCAGGGTGCTGGGCTGCACAAGGCACAGGTGAGTGTCCCAGCACAGGGACAGAGCAGGACCTTCCCAGAGCAGCAGGATGGACAGCAGCCAGGGGGGCTGGACACAGGTTCCACTAGGACAAAGCAAGGCGGGGAACCAAGGGAGCTGACCAGGGACACCCAAACACAGAGACAGCACAGAGCCAAGTTGAAAGGGAGAGAAAGGTCCCCAGCACTGCTCTGTGGGGCTCAGGGTCCAGGACCACCCAGTGGGCAGCTCCCCGGGAAGGGGCTTGGCCAGCTGCCGGCTGCTTCGGCAGGGACGAGGCTTTGTCACCTCTCCCTGACACTGTTTGATGGTTGGTTTCATTCCCAAAAACTTAAATTAAACAACTTGATCCTCTGACGTGCAGGAAGCACCTCTCCAGCTGGCCTAGAATGTCCTCCCACAGTGGCAGCTCCCATCGAGGGCTCCTGTGGGCATCTCCCACATCCCTGCGTGTTAACCCACTGCTCACCAAGCTGCCTCCAACCACAAGCAGCCAAACCTCATAGCCTCAGGAAACATTTGGGATGAGGGTCTGCCAGTGTGGGGCGAAAGAGCTGAGTCCCCTGGCTGAGCCCGAGCCCTCCAGCTGGGCCCGACACAGCTCCTGGCTCCCTGTCTCTGCAATGCCAAACACAGAGGGGATGGCTGGCACAGCCTGGGGAATTATGAAAGTCAGGATTAAAGAGCAGGGGGGGAGCAAAACGCCCTGAATGCTTTTTGGCAGGCGATGAAAGGAAGGTTTAGCAGCAGCTGCCAGCTGGGAGCTGATGGAAGGACAACTGCGGGTCCGGCTCCATGCCGGGCTCCCCAGCCCAGCAGCCACAGTGCATCCCCAGCACAGCCACTGACTCTCCCTGCAGCAGAGCAGAGGGATTCACCCACCTCCCGAGCATCCCTGCTGCTCCTCTGGGCAAAGGGAGGGACAGAAAACTGCTCCCAGCCGGGAAACCTGCAGGGAAAGCGCCACTTTAGAGCAGTGCCTGCCGGGTCTGGGAGCTGCCGCCACCCAGGAGAGAGAAAAGAGGCTTCAGCTGCTTCCCAGATGCCTCTCAGACAGATTTAGCTCTAGGGCCAGCACAGATGGGGCTGCAGGGCTGGACCTCCTGTGAGCCACAGTCGGAGCCCTCTCAGCGGAGCCAGAGCCTGCAGTTGCTAATAGAGATAGAGCAAATTAAGCGAACTTAATTCAGAGGGTCACTTCACAATGCTCCCACCTGTTTTGCTGCGCTTCAGCCATCTGCCACCCCTCCACCTGATGTAAAAGGGGCTTTTTTCCCTTTCTCCTGATGCCAGGGGCTTTGTTAAGTCATGTTGTGTCTCATCAGGCTGCAGAGGCAGGAAGGTTGCAGCACGAGCTGAGCTGGGGGGCACATGCAAACTCCTGGGAGGTTTCCTCACCGGAGCCAGTGCAACTGAGGGGCTACTAAAATCACTCCGTATTCCACTATGAAAAACAGTTTCATATGCCCTATCCCTGGAAGGGTCCAAGGCCAGGCTGGATGGGGCTTGGAGCAACCTGGGATAGTGAAAGGTGACCCTTCCCATGACAAGCAGTGGAACTGGATGGGCTTTAAGGTCCCTCCCAACCTAAACTGTTCAAAGATTCCATGATTCTATAATATCTTGTTTTCCAAATGGTAATTAAATTATTTTGCAAGTGGTGCATGGAAGGTGGTTCTGCATCACTCTTAACAACACTCAAAGCTGTGCTTCTGCAAACACTGCTTTGGAAAACAGCTCCTGCTGTTTTGGAGCCAAAGTAAAACACCGACACAAGCAAAGCTTTGAAGCCCACATTGCCAAAAGCCCTGTGAGGAACCCCAAAGGGTCCCAACTGCAGCCCTGCTCTGCCAGAGCCAGTGGGACTGAGCCAGCTCACAGCCAGGTTGGGAAACAGTTTTGGCATCAGCCACGGGAGGATGGAGGTTTTCAGGGGTAACAGCTGAGAAAGCTTTGACACTGTGCCTGTCAGGAGACATCCTCCCTGGAGGTCTGCCGGGCTGAGACAGGTCAGATGGTGCAGAGACAACTTCCCAGAGAAACACCAAGTTCTTGGAAACCTGCAAAAGGCCTGGCAAGAGCGAGATCACAGAGCTACAGAGTGGTTTGGGCAGGGACACCTTCCACTAGCCCAGGTTGCTCCAAGCCCCGTCCAAACTGGCCTTGGACACTTCCAGGGATGCGGCAGCCACAGTTTCTCTGGGCAGCCTGTGCCAGGGCCTCACCACTCTCACAGGGAAGAATTTCTTCCCAATATCCAGTATAAATCTACCCCCTTGTGGAAGTGGGATCTAGGCTGTCTGTGGGTCCCTCCCACCTGCCCAGCTCACTTTTGGCAGAAGTGCAGCTGTGCCGGCGCTGTCGGGAACTGCAAAGTCCTGCTGGTAGCATTGTGCTGAGGGATCCCTGGAGCACATTCCTGGTGAAAACCACGTCAAGGGATTGTTTGCTTTCCCCACTGCTGGTGCCACAGACTGCACTGGGTGTTTCCCAGTGCAGTGTGTGGAGGATTTGAAGGTTGGTGAGGTTGTGTTCTGACAGCACTGGTATTCACTGGAAGGGGAATGGCAAGAGTGCAACCCCTATAGAGGCAGGGAAAACAGACAACTGCATCCATCCATGGAAGGATTCTGCGCCTCTGCCCTGCTCAGGTGAGATCCCACCTGCAGTGCTGCCTTCCCGCTCTGGGGAACAATAGCAGAAGGATGTGGAACTGCTGGAGCAAGTCCAAAGGAGGCCACAGAGATGCTCTGGGTGTTGGAGCCCCTCTGCTCTGGAGAGCTGGGGGTGTTCACCTGGAAAAGAGGAGGTTCCAGGGAGACCTTAGAGCCCCTTCCACTGCCTAAAGGGGCTCTAAGAGAGCTGGAGAGGGACTTTGGACCAGGGCCTGGGTGGACAGGACAAGGGGGACTGGCTTCCCACTGCCAGATGGGATATTGGGAAGAAATTTTTCCCTGGGAGGGTGGTGAGTCCCTGGCACAGGTTGCCCAGAGAAGCTGTGGCTGCCCCTGGATCCCTGGAAGTGTCCAAGGCCAAGTTGGAGCAACCTGGGATAGTGAAAGGTGTCCCTGCCCATGGCGGGGGGGTGGAATGAGTCGGTCTCAAGTCCCTCCCATCCCAAACCATTCCCTGTCCCGGTTCCCGGCGCCGAACGGGGTCAGGCCCGGCCGGGCTCGGCAACGCAGGGGCGGGGCCTCATTTGCATGACCCAATAGGAGGGCGATATGCAAATGACGGCCGCGCGGGTTGGTCGGGGCGCGGCAGGGGCCCCGCGCGCGGGGTGCCTTTGTCCGGCACGGGCGGCGGGGCCGGAGCGGCCGCAGCGACGCCGGGACGGGGCTGGGGCTGGGGCTGGGGCTGTCCCTGTCCCTGTCGCCGTGCCCGTGTGCCCGTGCCCGTGCCCGTGCCCGTCCCTGCCCCGCGGCCCAGTGATGACTCTGGAGGAGCTGCCCGGGGAGCGCCGCGCCGCCGGGAGGTGAGGCCGGGGGGGGGGGGGCGGAGGGAGGTGCAGGGATCGCTGCCGTGCGGGGTCCCCGGTGACGGGCGCTTGTCCCGGCGCAGGATGGAGCAGGCGGGGGACGCGCTGGAGGAGGTGCTGAGCAAGGCGCTGAGCCAGCGGAGCCTCACCCTCGGCGTCTACGAAGCGGCCAAGCTGCTCAACGTGTGAGTGACCCCCCCTTAACCCCGTTCCCCTCCGCTCGGTGTCCCCCTCGGTGACGGCGTTTTCCCTTCAGGGACCCCGATAACGTGGTGCTGTGCCTGCTGGCGGCCGAGGAGGAGGAGGCGGGGGACGCGGCGCTGCAGATCCACTTCACGCTGCTGCGGGCCTTCTGCTGCGAGAACGACATCAACATCCTGCGCGTCAGCAACCCGGCGCGCCTGGCGCAGCTGTTGCTGCCCGCCGCGGGCCCCGACCCGCCCGCCGACCTGCACTGCGTGCTCGTCACGGTGAGCACGGGGGGGGCACGACCGGGCGTCGACAGACAGTCGGGTCCCCCCGCTACTCGCCGTGCCCGGAGCTCGAACTCGCGGGCTCACCGCGCCCGCACCAGGGCTGCGCGGGGCTTCCCACGACCCAGGGACAACGGGGTCCTTCTTCCCTCTCCTTTATTTTCCCCTCCTCTCCTTTTATTTTGTTCTTTCTTTGCCTCCTTTTTCTTCCTTTTCTTTTTTCCCCCTTTTTCTTTCCTTTTCCCCCCCTTTTTCTTTCTCCCTTCCCCTCTCTTTATTCCCTTCTTTCTTCCCCTTTTTCTTTCCCTTTCTTCCCCTTTTCTTGCCTTCTTTTTTTTTTCCTTTCCCTCCTCTGCCCCAGAGTCCAAAACTACAAAACTCCTCACATGCTTCCCGGGTTGACTTGTTTGTTTGCCTCGGTAGCAATTTAAGATGATTCACGCTCCTGGACTTTCTGCTGTGCTTTTTTTTTTTTTCCCTGCTGTCCTGCGCAGGCTGTTTTTGCTGCCGTGTCCAAGCCTTCCCCCATTCCCTTTCCAGAACCCCCAGGCCTCGCAATGGAAGGATCCAGCGCTGAGTCAGCTGATGTGTTTCTGCCGGGAGAGCCGGTACCTGGATCAGTGGGTGCCGGTGATCAACCTCCCGGAGCGGTGACCGCCAGAGCCCATCCCGATCCCGATTGCACTGGAGTGTTGCAAGACTTTCGCAGTTGCTCAGGAAGTAACTCCCTGCCCTGGCACCGGGATTCCGGGGGAGGGGGAGGAAAAATAAAACCCAACAAAAAAAATAAAAGCTAAAACTGACGTCGGGGGGGGGTTTGGCTGCAGTGGAGCGACGTGTTGTGTGGGGCTGAAGCAGAGTGATACCAGAGCGGTGGGAATGAGTGTGGAAGTGAAGGAAAAGTGGCAGGATGAGGCCAGCCTAACATGCCAGGGGTGCTCACGGCCCTCGCCGAAAACACCCTTCACTTTCTGTCCTTAAGTGCAACTTAAAATTCCTGGTTTAAACACCTTAAAGAGCAAAAATCAAGGCATTTTGCCAACAATGTTATTGTATTTTTGGGATGTTAATTCTCATGTTTTTATGCTAAGATATATAATAAGTTATTTTCTGATATTGATGGGAAAATTATTTATACTTGGAGGTTTGAGAACCGAAATGCCCTTAAGCTGTTGGTCTGCAACCACAAATCTTTTACCAGTTGGCTGAAAAAGCAGCAACATTATTATAATAGTTTGAAATTTGAGTGTGTCTGGGGGGGCTTTGGTGTTTCTGTTTTGTGTTTTCTTTTTTTTTTTTTTTGAAATAAAGTTTCCAATCAAACCTTTGGCCCAGGGTTTTATTTCCTTACTCCATTAGTGCACAGGCAAAAGGGCTCAGCAGCAGCTGCTTCCTTGTCCTGGCAGCGGGCAAGGTCCTGTTGTGCTGCTCCATGTGGGTTTATTCCCGGCTCCTCCCAAGCCATTAACCGCCAAAGCAGCCGATGTGCTGCAGGAAATGCTGGGAATGTTATTTATTTATTTTGCTTGAATGCTGCAACAACAGGACCTAAGAAAAAGAGAGGCAGCTTTATTGCAGAGACTCCAACACTCCTGTAGCACCCGAGTCTTGGAAGGAGGGGAAACCTGATTCCTTGGTGGAGGAAAACTTGACCTGATCTTTCTTGCATCACAGACTCTGCAAACACTCCTGGATTTTTTCCCTATGCATCCTCAGCACAGCCCATGCACCTCCAGCACAGCCTCTACCCACTGGGGTTGGGAGGTCTCTGTGCCAGCCTCCTCTGTAATTACAACTCCAGGCTGGCACACAGCTGGGATTTCTCCTGTGGCAGAACAGCCTCCCCTGCCCACGCTGCCAGCACTGTCCGGGGTGGGGGGGGCCACGGGGACACTACTGACCCACATTGGACATCCCTAATAGCACGTGTGTGACCCCACAGTGGCACCAGGGGGTCAGTGTCCCCAGCCCCAGGAGGATTAGTGCCAGCCTAGCCAAGTGGTGAGGTTCTCCCACTCCCGGACACCCCAGCCAAGGCCACCCATCCCTATCCATATCCGGCACGTAGCTCAGGACCAGGCAGGTGCCATCCTGTGCCCTGGGACCCCTGCAGGAGTAGCATCACCATATTTGCTGTTTCTCCAAGCTCAAACTCAATCCAATCCCCCACAACCCCTGATTTCTCTCAGTGTCACCCCTCCAGCCCCTGTCCCCATGACCTGGGGGCACATGGCCCCGCAACAGCCATGCACCCAAATGCTTGGGTTTTCCTCCCCCAAATTAGCCAGCTTGGCCAAGGAAAGAGAAGGGCAGCATGACGATGCACCATGGTGGGGTGGCATGGTGATGCAGCATGGTGGGGCATCCCTGTGGCACCCCACAGGTTTGTCCCAGTACCTATGGATGGCGTCATTCCTCCCTTTTTTAAAAAAATCTACAAGAACAGAGGCTGTATTTCCCTTAATTTTACAATACCTGTTTTTTTTTTTCCTGGGAGTACTTACAGCAAAAAGGGAACACAAATATAACAGCTCCAGATTTCACGTGTCCCTCTATTTTATATTTTTAAAATAGAGAGTTTACCAAGTATCTATAGATTAAATGCTGCCAGATGCAGGCCAATATGCTGGATCACCAAACAGGGTCTCACAGCTGGATTTCTGGCTGGATCACACAGTTGGATCACCATCCAGAGCCCCATGGCTGGATCACCCATCAGGACCCCACATATTCAGAGTCCCACAGCTGGATCACCATCCAGCCCCAATGATGGGCTTTATTCAAAGGCAGGCACAAAGAAGGCAGACACAAAGAGCCCCCCTGCAGCCACAATGGGGAGCTGGGTTGGGGTTGGGAGCAGGGATCTCTAATCAAATAAGCCTGCAGATTCCTGTGGGAACACCAGATTGCTGGGAAGACAATAATCAGGCAACCGCACGAGGTTCTTTCCTTCCCTGCACACCATGTACCTGCCTGGCCACCTCTGGGCACAGCTGGAGTTCTCAACAGCTACAGCCTTGCAGCTCCAAACTGAGTAATTAACTGAGCTCATTAATTCCACCTACGTGTGTTATAAAATGATAGACACAAACACAATAAAAAAGAATCAGTGTGGAGATACATTATTGTTTTCTTCAATTGCCACTAGAAAAATACTCTATAAAAATAATCTGCATGTAAGCACAGGATAAGCAGCACAATTCTCTGTCAGGCTGATTTTGGAGCTCTTTGTCAAAGAGGCTTGTTAAACAAAGATATAAGTTCTTAATATATATCAATAGTGGGTCTATAATTTCATATAGAAATGACAAATATGCAACATAAATGACAAGTGGTTAATAAAGTCTGTAAATATCCTCATGGAAATGCACAGTTATGGCAGATCACAACTTCAGCAGGATGCAGAGAAGGACATTTGCAGCCAGCTGAAGTCAATATTACTCCAAATTTGCTGTTAATATGCAATATTTGCATACAAAGTTTATGTATATATATATATATATACACAGACACACAAAGAAAGATATTTTTATTATGTGTATATATAAAATATATACTTGATGAAAAGGCCCTCCAATTATAAATGCAGAACCACAAGCTGGATATAATTTGGCATTTTTCCCGTTTAAAAATTATTTTTTTTAAAAAAAGAGTCAAATTCTGACTCCCTGCACAGAATGTAACTGGGATTGGGAGTGAGGGCAGCATTCCTTCCTGCAGTTTCAGGGCAGTTCCAGCTTTCCATTCTTTTGACAGGATGGTTTTTATACTAATATGGATTTTAAATTAGAGAGGAAAATGCAGAGCAGCAGGATCCAAGCTGAAAATTCTGCTTTTTCAACTCTTAAAAAGCAGGAAAAGCAATCTGCT